TTTGTCAGCCGCTGTAGGTCGGTGCCAGACCTTTTTTCCTAATATGCGTTTTGGATGCCTCTCAGCATATCATTTAGTATATTCTTAGGAGGGCAAAGATCATTTACAACATTTAATATATAAACTTTCTACATGGAAGGCGAGATAATGGTTGTTTGTTGTTTTAACGCCGAACTCAATATTACATGTTGGGATACACGGGGATTTGAATATATGGAAACAGGTAGTTTTACCTCAGGCATGGAAGCAGTGATCTTAGCTAGGTCACTATAATGGACATATGGCGAAACCAAATTATCAGTGGTTCGAGAAGGGAGCTAACTCCGCTCCGAAGGGAGCTAATATCTGCATTACGAACCACTATTTTTGTCTATTGTGTAGAGTATTGTGACTTTTTATTGGAGTAGAATATCCAAATTCGTAGAAACCACAGCAGAACACACTTGTATAAACATCACAAAACTAGGTTGTGGAGTCATTAATATTCATGAGTTATTCCTTTTATGGAACAAGTTCCCGGAATTCTTTTGAGGTCATGTAGGCTTCTATCATGACCGAGTTCGATTCAAGTATAGACATAATTTTCAGGTTTATATTGCCACCGACATTTATGATTAGATTCATGTGTTATACTGAAAAACGTGGATTGGTATTGTCTCTCAAATGTAATTTGAAGTACGTTTCTTGTGTTGTAACTATTTTTACAAAACTTCAGCTGAGGACGTTATTGAAACTTCATAGACTTTGTGTACCTATCGTGGAGGTAACGTATGTTACACTAAATATTTTATAAAGACGTTTCCCATCAATATAACAAAATGAGAACAAAATATATTCAAGTTGCTACATATCCATACAAAATAATTACTAAATGGCTAATGCTTATCAGATCTAATTAAGCAACCTAATGAAGCTAGGCTTTATACAAAAGTGGGCCCACTTGTTTCGATCACCATAAATGACGTGATCAATGTGGTCCCACATTATAGAAAAAGGTTATCAGTAAGTTAATGGATCTTCGCGATTTATAAATGTGATCCTTCCTGTTGCAATCTCCATGACGGAAAATTGCCTGCCCACATTTAGAAATAGCTTATCAGCAGCATGCAAACCTAATAAAGATTTTCTGTAGTCCTATACAAATGTGGGCGCACTTGTTTGGATCACCATCTGACGGGGTGTGGGGATGATTGGGAGTATGTGGGTGTGTGGTGTGGTGTGGGGGTGTATGGGTGTGTGTGTGTGTGGGTGTGTGTGTTATGAGTTATTAATTCCATTGGCAAGCACCGTTTTTGATTTTCTGCAAGTTACGGATGGGAAGAAAATATATATTGTCTTCAAACATTTTATTAAGTTTACGGTTTACCTTTGGGATTAGATGGCCAATTAATAATTGGACCAACGACAACGTTCAGCGTCACAGACGCCATATACGAAAACAACGGCGATAGCTCCCAATTGAAATTAGAGTGACCTCCCTTTCCAAATATGAACTACTGACAATGCGGTTATGGACATATATGGACAGTAAAATCTGTTCCTGTGGATATCATACCGAAGATGCATTACATTTCTTTTTTATATCACCCCGTGGGGACCAGGGGTAGAATGTGTCCCGAGAACCACATTGATGGTCGTGAAAGGCGGCCGAATTGGGGTACCTCGTTGCCGTGGGTTACGTCCCTGTCTCGGGGGAGGAAGGGAGTTTGGTGGTTGAGGACGTCGGATCAGGTTCAGGGTGTCCCGCAAGCCCGCAAGGCAGTATTTTTTCTGTCACTATATTTAAAATTAACATAAATAGTCTTTCAAATATTTAAAGTGATTCAGTGGATGGATCGCTTTTCTTGGATGATTTTAATATTTCTTGTAAAAATATCCATACAATAGCGTGGCAGTTACAAATCTATCTCAATATTCGCATGAGATCACTTGAAAATGGGTTTAATTTTTTTTAAATTTAAAAACTGATTGTATACATTTCTGCAGAAAATATAAGCGGCAATAGGACCCTGGAATATTTTTGAATGGCACCCCAATCAAACTGGGAAGGAGGCCAAGTTCTTGGGAATTATTTTTGATAACCATTTAACATTCTTACCGGACATTAAACACCTTAAAAGCTTAATGTCTGAAGGCCCTCGTTTTATCGAAAGTTGTATCTAATTCAAAGTGGGGAGTTGATCAGACTGTTGAAATATCCAGTAATGACTAGTCCCTATCACCCTTACTGTCTAGGACAATGACTGTTCCCCGCACAACTGCGCTTGTAAAAATGATGGCTACCGAGTAAACTTGTGCGTAAACGTGCGTCTTGTTGTCGTTTTATTTAGTGTTTGGGAAACACATGATATTGAAATATGGTGGCAGCGTCGGGATTCTGAACCAGTTGGTCAGTGATAACGGAAATAGATTCTACTGAGAGGAGTTTCACAAATTTGGGGGTTGTTTATTTCGAAAAAAATCATTATTTCTGTATAAATTACCACCAAAGACAATGAATAGCTCTTAATTGTGCACCCCCCCACCCCCCCACCCCCCTTTCAAAATGCTGTATCCGCCCATGTAACAGGCCTACCATTTACTTCTCGTGTGACTCCACACCGATGACACCGATGAAGACCGACAGACTGACGACCATCATGAAGCAAGCACATGACTATACCACCGACTGCCAACAAAGGTGGCCGTTCAGTGAAATTGCCCAAACATTTCAAAGACTTTACTGTGTAGAGTATAGTTTGTGCTCGAGTTCAACAATTATATGCTGAAGCCCTCAGTTATTCTATTATGTTAATGTGAGTTATGGTTTACAGACCACCTCTTACGTCGGTTCCTTTTGATCATGCACAAGCGTCATCTAGGCTATTATCAATCACCAACTAGAGCGTGCCATTATGACGTTAAAAGTGAATTACAAGAGTTATCTAGGTTGTTATTAGTAAACACGCTGGGCGTGCCATTTTGCCATAAAGAGGCAATCATACAGATGAATCACTTTACATATAATACAAACGAAAGAAAGATTATGTTCGCAGAGCCACCTGCTACCTGCGAATTTGCGCTTTACGTCATAAACTGGGTCATTTTTATGTTCGACATTTCCTTATCATTTCCAAAACTGTATTTCATTTTGTTGATCAGTGTGACCATGCGCCCTTATACTATCAATAAAAGTAACAATTGTGCTTACAAATTGCGCAGCACAGGTCGCAAACTAGTCTAGAATTCTGCTGTATAATCCGGGTACTTATGGGGAAAACAGAATAAGAAAGGCAACAACCAGTCCCTGGGAATTGCTATATATCAGTGCCCCTTTAAGAGTCAGTGAAAATGGGTAGTACAGCATTGTTACATAAGTGGGTCTGATAAATATTTACTGGATATCTATACGTATTGGGCGCGTTTTGGGCTGCGAAACTGACGCTTGCATCCCAAGTACCAAGTTGTCCGACTCCCAATTGTTCTGGTAGCCTTAGGTTTGGTACCTCCCAATCTGTTGACTGAAATGGGAAGAGTACCCGGGTTTGCTGCCAGGAATACATGTTGAGGAGTCTTCACATTCTCCTAAACGTTCTGGATGGGTTTGACAAGGCAGTGCTTCCTGAGAGAAGTCCTATTCGCTGTCTGGGCTGTGTGTAGTGTGGGCGAGGGCCCTGGGCTGATGATGAGCCTAACCAGCCTGACTGTGCCAGGATCACCCAAACCCTCTTTGCTGCATTTTTTTGTTTTTATCTGTACACATAAACATGTGTATTTATAATGCGCAACATTCCATACACCAAGTGGATGATCATAGCTTTATACTATTATTACCCTGGTCAATGGGTCAGTGGTCACTCGATTTTCCTTCTCAGCTCCCTGGGGAGTATACAACCCAAGCTGCCTGTGAGGCGATAGAAGGTTAACAGCCACTGTGTACCCGTTCACTACAGGGACTACATTTCCAACAAAGCCACTTGCACAAGGCGACAGCACATGTGCTACATGTGCTTCAGTGTGAGGCAGGAACGAAACCCTAAAAATTCAAACTGCTGAACGCGGTCACCCAGCCAACTACACTCCGAGACCGACGTTGTTTAACTTCACTTTTGTAACCTGTGTGTATAAGTTTACGATATATATTATGTATGTACTTAATTATAGCAAAATGAAGTCGTTTAAATAGTGACATCTGATTGTTCCACTTATGGACAGGAGGATTTTGTTGTACAGCTTACACATTGTTGTGGCTACTTGATAGTACGTGTGCATTTTAACCATTGATCTATAACTTATAATAATTTGTTTGTTTTTCCATTGATATTAACATTTCATAAAACTTTCATCTCAGTTAAAATAATCACGAATTTCATCACAAACAGTATCGATATATCTGTGTAACTATAAGTATCTTTTAATAGAAGATTAAGTGGACCTCACAAACGACGGTTTGTAGTGTGACCCAGTGCATCTCTCACACATCTGTAGTCAGTGTGACCCAGTGGAGCTCACAAACAAGAGTAGCCAGTGTGTCCCAGTGGAGCTCACAAACAATAGGTGAGTCAGTGTGACCCAGTGCATCTCACACACAATAGCAGTCAGTGTGGCCCAGTGCATCTCACACACAATAGCAGTCAGTTATACCAAGTGCATCTCACACACAACAGTAGCCAGTGTGTCCCAGTGGACCTCACAAACAAAGTAGCCAGTGTGCCCCAGTGGAGCTCACAAACAATAGGTGAGTCAGTGTGACCCAGTGCATCTCACACACAATAGCAGTCAGTGTGGCCCAGTGCATCTCACACACAATAGCAGTCAGTGTGACCCAGTGCATCTCACACACAACAGTAGCCAGTGTGTCCCAGTGGACCTCACAAACAAAGTAGCCAGTGTGCCCCAGTGGAGCTCACAAACAATAGGTGAGTCAGTGTGACCCTGTGCATCTCACACACAATAGCAGTCAGTTATACCAAGTGCATCTCACACACAACAGTAGCCAGTGTGTCCCAGTGGACCTCACAAACAAAGTAGCCAGTGTGCCCCAGTGGAGCTCACAAACAATAGGTGAGTCAGTGTGACCCTGTGCATCTCACACACAATAGCAGTCAGTGTGACCCAGTGCATCTCACACACAACAGTAGCCAGTGTGTCCCAGTGCATCTCACACACAACAGCGTCACTTCAGAATTTTCTCCTGGGTAATCTGACTTACCGTCACTCAGCACATGATCTGTTGAGATCAACGTTAACGTTGAACCTCAACTCAATAAGTTCTTACATTTTAGCCCAATGTAGTCCTATATGAACCGAACCTTTCTTTCCATATTGTAAAAGTCAGTTCTGACACTTGATTATAATTAAATGGTATTCAAAAGAACGAATGTGATAATTTAAGATTACAAACAGCAAATATATTTATCATGAAACTCAAAACATGCGGCAATTGGTACTGAAATAATGATGATTTCATCTTTCCAATACTCAATTTTTCAAAAAGCTCCAGCAGCTCCAGCCTTTGGTGTCTACTTCTGACAACTTAGGAGATATAATCGAGAAAGCTCTTTTTATTAAGATTTCGAAGCGTGTCACACGGCTCTAGCGCAAAGAAGTTTTATCAGGGTTATAACATTCAAGATAAACTTTCAGTATTCATAGTGTACAAAACTGTAAACTGTAACTGTAAACCCTCGGTGTATAGGTGGGTTTTTTTCAGTTGAAAAATTGGCTTGACTTTTCATGTGTTTGTGACAGATGCCACCACAGGGACAGGATACCCGCACCTTTTCGCGAAAACCTGGTATCACTATTTGATAGTGATTCATAAACACATGCCAATGATATAATTATACTCGTACAATGGACTCTGCCCTCATCCGATATTTCTAATGAACAGTAAAGGGTTTGGTCGATTTTATTTAACATTTTATCGTAGCACACATGAACATGAAACATATTGTGAGATGCTGTTGCACAACACATCTTTAATTCTCCAGTCTCCTGAACGTTTCCCACCGAGGACATCTATATTTTATCAGTGACGTTAGTTCATGGTGTGTAATGGGTGTATTTAAAGGTACCTAAAATAGAATGAGATGACTCAAATTGGTGGTTGAGTGAGGATTGGATATACGGCACAGGACACACACCCTCTCAACAGTAGCCAATGACAGGTCGTATCAAATTAAAGAACACACCAATGCTGACATTACCCCGACCAGGAACATGAATTGGGGAGTGGCCTCTCTAGTAGTATATGTATAGAACACGACTGCAACCTGAATGTATACTCACGCTGACACTTCTAAAAGGCGATCAGAAACATAACAGGTAAGTGCATCTGCTAAGACTGGAACCAAGGTATGTCGATGTCAACTGCTCTATTGTGCATTGGGTATTTATGTATCAACAAGAAGGAGTTGGTTCCACGAAGCTTGGTTCTCGTGTATACCGCGTTCAACTGCTAATAAAATATTCCTTCAGATATGTTAACTTCAGATTGTGTATCATTTAAAAAGGTGGCTACATTGCACGTGTATGGATTATGTACACGCAAATAGACATTTCGACACCAGCAATTATACAGCATATTCCAAATGCACAGACACAATGTTTATGCTTTTACAAAATAAGAAGATAAGTTTACGCCCAATGGAGTCCGTTTCGATAGATAATCGAGGCAGATTATTCTATGGCGTTAAGTTTTCTATTTCTAAAAATTGCGTAACATATAAAGACCTTTTATTATATAGGCGGATGTTTAATTTTCATTAAAATATGTAATGCTACTCTTCGTGTTGAGATAGAAGGGAATCTCAGATAAAAAGATATCTTAGATCATGTATTTATCTGCGCTTACTTGCTTTAACCATGTGACATCTACAATTTATCTAATTTCTGTTGGATCTATATAGAACACTTAACTCGCTCCCGTGTAATACCAATTTTATGAAACGCGTGAATAGGTCTGGTATCTGACGAGCGAAAGCCACAACTATTCACGAGTTTCATGAAATTGGTTTTACACGGGAGCGAGTTTAGTATTTTATTTATTACTTGCCATTTATAACTTTTTTAGAATTATACTGTCGTGTGTGAATAGGCGGACAACTACACGATCCACGGCATAATCCAACAGAATCATACTTTAAACAAGTCAAAAGTTTAAACTATTAATTTAATACCATACAACGGTCCACCTTTAGAATTCAGGCGTCCGTTCCACAACGCTATCGAAGTGCTTAGGTTATCGCAACTCACATACTTGAACATGGGCTTACGACTGTCGTTGCGCTACAGTACGGTCGCCTGGTGGATCCGAGCCCTGCACCACAAAATTTATAATCACGTCACAATACCCGATGACGTAATGCGAGGAATTTTGTTGCAAGATCCATCGGCAAAACAATGCCATGTGACATCAGCCTAGCAACAAGGTTGCTGGGGTCATCGAATATGCATAAGCTCCACTCCGTGAGCTATCATCTCCACACGCAATGTCGTTGAATAAGCCAAGGGATGTTGAGAGCTTTCAATATTTGTTCGTGAAACATTTGTTCCGACAGTACATAAGCACGCGTTTTGGTATTACACAATGTGTAATACAGCTGTATGTTTATTGAAAGGGCGATCTGTTCACGGGTAAGTGATAATATTTTAATTCTACTTCAGTACTGTTTCGCGTGGTTCAGGTGGGAAATCACACTGAATGAATTTCCCCAACACTCTAACGTCAGTGGGGGCAGGGGTGTCCCAGTTGTCTAAGGCGCCGCAATTCGATTTGCGTTCCTTTGGCACGCCAGAAACCTATGATTGTGGATTTGAATCCCGGTTCGCCCCGGTTTGTCAGCACCATACCTTTGCTTGTGGGTGTCAATATGGTGGTAAACGTCTGACCTGCAAAACTACGGACTTTCCTCCCACATTAAGAAGATGCACCGTGATAAAACTGGAATACTGTTCAAAGTGGCGTTTGACCTAAATCACTCACTCACTCTAAAGAACCTATTGAAATGTGCAACTACGTATTTGAATTAATATGAATATGTCATACTATGTTAAAACTTTTATTTTAATACAGCAGGCATTAATCTTTTGAACTTAATGTTATATTAATAAAGTATTTATCAAGTTACATGCAAACTTAATAGAAAATAATATTGATCTGTCTTAGCTTAACTTGAACTTTCATGCCAAATGATGCTCCCTGCACGCAGACGACTTTCACTGTACGGGGCAATCTGACTTCAAGCTGATGGATCACCTGTACTAGTCACTATTAACCTGACACTCAGCCATATATAATGTTTATCGACAAAGTGGCATACAACATAGCGGTAATTATTGCAATTTTTGCTTTTAAATGTATCAGGGATAAAAGGTACAAAAATGCCATTCTCCATCAATTAGCTTACTCGTGTCAAGTCATGCACTCTCTCCAAACTTAGATTTTTCTTGAATGTGTAACCAAGGAGGCTGGTGAATTGTGTGTCATATCGTAATGCCTGCACATTTTTTTTGTCAGCAGTATAAACATGCAAACCGTATCAATATTATTCACTCTTTATATAGACACCATCATAACGCGATGTCAAGACTACTGCAGCTTTTAGGAATCATTGGAATTGCTTTTGTACAAGTACAATCCACGCCAGGTAAGTCCTTCACCAGTAATTCCTACATATTCTCATACACGAATCAAATAATGCACTGAACAATACGAATATCTGAGAAAGATAGCGAAATATTTAAATAGTTTATTTTGTGCATTTTGTGAATTAATTCCATCTTTAATCCAATCGAGATCCGTAGTACATATTATATCAGTGTAATTTCGGACTTCAAAGGTTACGCATTGAGTGTATTCGATACGTTCTCAAAGGGAGCTCACTACATCCACTTCCGCATATCTTAAACGGGCAAAATAATAACAAAGACGACCTTATGTTAATTTGATTATGGGTAATCGCTATAAGATTACCTGTAGGTTAACGTTATATATAACTGCAGTGAAACATGACATTTAAGCAATTCTGATGAAGAGACGACCTTTATGGGCAACATTTTTACCTTTGTTACGCTCTCATGCAATTAACATTACGGTATTTTCTGGCAATGTGCTTCACCAACATGAGATGGCGCAAGGATGAGCCTTTTGTGAACTCGCTGTGCGTAGTTGCATCACTAAGTAACCAGGATCTGTAGATTCATCGCGAATATGACCCTTGGTCTTCAGGTCAAACGCTTATATTAATGAATGTGATTTATGGCCTGCGTTACATATTACTTTCCTCTCCCATCATCTGAACGCCACCATTTGGGTAAAGATGAATAGTAAATAATGACTGCATGATTCTCATAATTTCAGAATTCAACTGCCTACGGACCGGTGATACTTGTGCAACTGGCAGCACCTGTGCCTCCACCGGAGACTGCACGTGTACAGCTCTAAAGGCCAACTATGACTGTGGAACAGGTAGGTGTTTATAAACATTCTCTGAAATCATCAACGGAATATAGTTTGTGTGTTTGTTGTTTAACGCAACACACAGCCATATTCCAGCAATATGACGCCGGTCTGTAAATAATCGAGTGATTTACATTATGAGAATCGATCCACGCAATTGGGATACGATGATATGCATCAAAAATGTCTGACCACCCGATCCAATTAGTCTCAATATTAAAAACGTTTTCTTTCAGATACTACACTAGTTGGCACTACTTGTGCTTGTGAAAACACCGGGTCTATATGCCTACCAGATGAAACCACATGTGTTTGCTCAGAGAAATTCTACGGACCCAAATGCCAGTACAAAACATGTAAGTACTTCTTCCGCTTTTGTATTTCACATTTGAGAAGGAAACATCTTTACTAGTTAACCCCTGTATGCTGTTAAAGGAACATTGGATGATCATGACGGTGATATCGATGTTGTCACATCCCAATTTGCCCTTTTCCACAACAGAACAAGAACACCCTTTACCATATCCGTATTTTCAAAAAGGTCATTGTTACAAGTCTTAACATGTATGTGTTAAAGTCAAATGATAGTTCATCTTTACCTTTATATCAAGTTATACAAGTGCACCTTCTGCTAAGGAATATGGTTCTCGAACACCTGTTGTCTTCACCGATTGTCAGTGATCCGTTCATATAATGTTTAACGCTGTTTTGTCTTTTACGCCCAATTGAATCTGTTTCTGTGAATAACAGAGACTCTATAGCTAGTTATTCTCTGGCCTGAACATTTTAAACATTTTACGTTAAATAGAGTGTGGGAGGTGTTTACGTTCCTTTCTTTATGTACGATATTTCCTTAATATATGGAAAGGAGATAAGATAATAGCTGAGCCTTCAATTTAATGCACGATAAATTAACGACAATAGGCTTCATATCATGAAGATTCCAAGGTAGAATATAGCAGCACAACCAGGCAAAAATAATTTGAGATTAGGGATTATGTGGTAACAAGGATTTAACCAGGTCACCTCCTTGGGAGACACTCTTCTGTTCCAACCGCGAAGATGCTGACAGATGCTTACATGAGAGGCCACAACTGTTGATTCAATTACACTCTACAGCATGCATTTAGTGAGTGTCGTTGAGTCTTCTTGACGCTTTGATCAGTATTTAATTCATACAAAGACTTGACAGCTAAATAGGGTAGGAAAGACGCAGGTAGTTGTGATAAAGTGATATTGTTCACAAATGACAGGTCACACCCACAACTAATACGCTAACTCAAACCTTTTCTGTGGAATTGCAGTGGATGTGAGTTGCTCGAGTGCTGGGGCCCACATCCTGAACGTCAACGTACCCGGTACCCCAACGTGTTATGTGATGGAATTTGAGAACGCCTGCAGCTTTACCACAAATCCACCCACCGGAACACCGACGGGCTGGACGGGAAACTTTCTGGAAGCATCCCTTACAGATTCTACAAACTGTGGACCGCCGAATGCAACTACGGTTTGGAACAACTGTTGTAGTAATTAAGCTAACATAAAAAAGTAAGATTCATAAAAATGAATGACAAGGTCATGAAGTAATGCAACTGCATACACGGTACTATCCACATGGCATCTGAATAAATTATTATTATATTTCTCAATAAACAAAAGGTTTTATTGTATGTAATGTTAAATTACAGGATACGAATGGAATATCCACTCAGTGCTTTACAGTGATTTGCCGGTATGAAGCCTCGTATCTCACAGGGCTCGATTTTGAGGCCACCTTCTGCTGCGGTGATGCGCAGAAGACGGTTACAACCGCAGGCTTGAGCTTGTCAGAAATGTAAGTATGAACATACTTGAAACCATGGGACGGAGTTGGCTCGCAACTATTATCTAAAAATAGTTAAGAGTCTAAATGGCCAGATACAAGGGTATCAATTGGATCCTGTTATTTCTTATTTTTACACGTATGGGCGAGTGAGTGAATCTATTCGCGACAATTCTGACAAGTGTGCTTATGGTTACAAGTTACTAGGAATTCATACTTATAACATGTTATAATATATGCATGTTGAGTGTAAACCAATTGCTTCGATTTGCTGCCCAAATGGCTTCCTGTCCCTGTCGCGAAAACAGTGTCGTATAATGTTCACTCACAAAATTAGACATTTTCACCACTTCTACATTCCATGCTACCAATAAATAGGTTAAGTACAAACACATTCATATACTGAACCGCAAAAGAAACGATTTAAGGGACTAAGGGCAGGCTACTGCATGGTTCTGATGCCATTTTGCTGGAAGAAGTCTCTTGTTGCTATCGCAGCGTGGGCACGGGCGTTATCATGCTGAAACTCGTGGTTGCGGCAACGTGCCAAATGAGGTATGGCGTGTGGTCTCAAGACTTGATCAATGTACCGAGTTGCTGTGACACCATTGCCTCTCCCTGGACCGATGTTCTGGAAGGCCACAGTGCCGACCCTCTGTGCAAGACCAATTCCACCCCACAACATGATGCTCGGACCACCCCACGAGTCTCTCTCAACAACACAAGCATCCGAATAACGTTCCCCACGGCGTCGCCAGACTCTCCCTCTGTCATCTACTATTGAGCTACAGTAACGGCTCTCGTCTGAGAAGAGGACTCTTCTGTGCTGGTTCTGTGTTGCCCACTGAAGACGGTCCCGGCGATGACGTGGTGTCAGAATGGGTCCTCGGTGTAGCCTGTGACAGTGGGGGTGTCTGCTCGTCAATCGTCAACGCACGGTGTCCGCACTAATGTTTCGCTGAGGTGTCCGCATGGTCTGTCGAGCAGTTTCCGCAGGAGTAACAAAGCGATCTGTCCAGCTTGCAATCGTCCAAGGGCTCGGTGTCGCTGATTTCTTGCCAATCTTGGCATGTGGTAGCAATTCAATAACGAATGAATGTTATCCGATCTGGGTGGATTTGTATAGGGCAAGAAATGGGGGAACGCATGGGGGAAAGCATGTGCATTTCAATTTGCGCGGAACTCACCTGCAACGAGTTACCCTGGCCATTGCCGTGATGAGTTTGGGCGATCGGTTTTATTGTCATCTGCTTTGTTTTTATCATCAAACTTCATTTTTCGGGACAAGGTAATGTTAAATTTTAGAAACTTTGAGAAAAATTACCAAGATATTTAAATGACAACTTTTCATGCAAAGTTACTTAAGTCGACGTTTCTTTTGCGGTTCAGTATATTATTTTCGGTTATCCACAAAGTCGTTTGCCCCTTGTGACCATCCGGGTTATAATTGATGTTAAGTAGCCGATGTCAGTCGCAAGAAGGCGACTGACGTGATGGGATTTCCAGACTCGCTGCCTTGGGTGACGATGTCATCCAAATATTTACAGACCACCGTCATATACCTGGAATATAGCTGAGTGCGGCATTAAACAACAAACGAACAAAACAAAGTCTTTTGAAAGTCTTCCCTCGGCAGAAGTCATTGAGTAATTGAAGCTGCATTCATCAATGTACAAACTATGATAACCCATTTAGAAGTTTACTGCATGAGCATCGTTGTACGCAGTTGTGCCAGGTCGCTCATGTAAACACCTTGCCCAAATAAATCGGCTTTCACGTCAAGGTTTGGTCACTGGAAACCTGACTTGACTCGGTATGAACACGGGCACGCAAGAAAGCTAATAACATATGTGAATGGTAATATAGTAGGAAATTTGTTTGTAAGAGATAATTACTCGTTATGTTAGAAATTTGCATTCAATATTTTCTAAAATGTACTGATTTCAGTGGACTGACTCGAACAAAAGTTGTTGCAGACCCTGCAGGGAATGTTGTTACGATGGTGATGAAGGACGCTTCTAACGCCCCTATAACCAGTGGGTCCGCAGTTGATATTGGTTCGACGGTTAAGCTTGAATTCACACTTGATACTACCTCTGGTATATATATTTTTTATTACATTCCAGTTTTAGTAGATACATTTTCATGCATCATCGAGACACTATCGTATATTTAATATTCTGCTCAGCCTTTGAGTAACGGAGATATATCTGTGTGTCAGTGGTTATCCATATGTACAATACCAGGCTCAAATGAAGTGTATTCCCTATGTAACTTTATGAATATATATGGAACTAACCTTTGTGTGAGGTTTTATTACATTATCATCTGAGGAATCTACCATCTGACATAATATGGTTAGGTACATCTAAAATACATTGACTAATTCCATGATTCTAAAATGTTCTACAACAGGTTTTGTTGAAATACGCGTCCTCTCGTGCAAAGCCAAAGATGGCGGATCCGTGGAAGCTGAATTTATTACAAACAGGTATGGTTTTAATCGTCAGTATCAAAACATAATAATCTTTACTGTCGACAGTTTCCATTACTCGAAAGAAAACTGAACTAAAACTTGAATTCTTTAACTGCAGTTGTCCCGCAAAGACATTTGTTCGAAACACCTCGCAAATGTATGGCAGTGCAATAATTGAAACAACAGCTATCAAGTTCACATCAGGTGTCACCGTCACTTACGAGTGTACAGTTCTTGTCTGCAGACAAATGGGCGGATGCGCAGCGGTGAGTAAAAATGTATATATAATGGTAAATTGCCGTTTTTTGGGTTTTGTTGATTAATTACGGAAAATGTTCAGAAAAAATAAGTTTACAGATTCCGAGACTGACGATTCTATGGCGTATTGTTTTAACCAATGTTATCCCTTCGGGATCCTGGGTCAGATGAGGTCCAAAGTCGTGTGAAGCGACTAAAGACGATGGGGTGGTTATGATGTGTAAATTAGGTTATTGTGTCATACACACCGATAGCGCAACTCTTTGTTCCACACTCGAATATTTATATGCCACCGTGATTCGGACTCCGCGTTGCTGAATATGCGTAAAACAACGGTTACTCACTCCTTCGAAGATAATGTAAAATTAATAATTTGTTTGAAATTGTTGATACATTGTTTGATTTTGTTTGGTACATTGTTTGGTACATTGTTTGATATTGTTGGTACATTGTTTGGTAGGTTGTTTGGTACATTGTTTCTGTGAACAATAGAAGTAAACCATACTGCAGAAATCCTAAGCTCATTAACCCGTGAAGATTCCGTGTAGAATAGGTCTTCAAAACCCATGCTTGCTGTAAAAGGCGACTATGCTTGTCGTAAGAGGCGACTAACGGGATCGGGTGATCAGGCTTGCTGACGAGGTTGATGCATGTCAATGTATTCCGATTGCGTGGATCGATTCTCATGATGTCAATTACTTGACCAACAAATACGCAAACGTGAGCTCAATAAAGTTAAAACATTTTTCTTTATCATTGCACTGTTTCTTTATTGTGTGATTCCCTCACTACGTTTCAAGATAGTGAGTGAGTGAGTATGGTTTTACGCCGCTTTTAGCAATATTCCAGCAATATCACGGCGGGGGACACCAGAAATGGGCTTCACACATTGTACCCATGTTGGGAATCGAGCCCGGGTCTTCGGCGTGACGATCCAATGCTTTAACCACTAGGCTACCCGACCGCCCCACGTTTCAAGATAAATACATGACGAGTGTAAAGGGTAAACTACAGATCGAGGGATAACGTTATATCATATGTTTGTTTATAGGCATTTTGAAGTGGGGGATCTTCCGGTTTCGGGCGTAATCGCCTCTTTTTTTCCATATCCTCCCTGAAAAAATCAAAAATATACGACGCGTGTATCGGTTTAACTACAGATTCACGGCTAACATTTTTATTCTTGTTCATAGAAAATGTGTCCTGATGGAAGTTCAGGTTACGGGCGTAAGAAGAGAGAAACCCCTCCGTCTAACTCCACTGAACAGAAAACGCTTATCACGTTTATCAGAGTCAACGACCCACTTGCAACATCAGATGGTACGTTATTATCAAGCATGGCAAACGGATTAATAGTTCTACCGGTAGAGCAGGACATGCTTACCCTTTTGGCGAACACCTGCAGCTGGTGTCATACTTCATAAAGTGTTCACCACTATTTTGTCTTTTACGCCTAATGGAATCGGGACGGCAGATAAGCTAGATAATCGAGACTGGTTATTCTCAGGCGTTGACGTTTCATATAATATCGTTTGTTTGTACTTCTTTGTGAACATAATTAAAAAACAGAAAATTTAATTAAAACCGTATACATTTGCGATAGTAGTCCGAAGGACCCTGAAAATATCGATTTCATTCATTCATTTTATATTCTATAAAATAACCTCCTTCCAGTGAAGAGCGCTGTTCAAGACGCTGTTGCGCAGACTGGTACCATCAATCTAACAGCCGCAGTGATTGGCCTGGCTGTCGTTGTCCTCGTCCTCCTTGGAGCCTGTCTTTTCCTTGGCCTTCGTCTCATCAACAGGCGGGCACCTGTTACAGACACCAAAGGATAAAATGTTGGACTGTTTCTATTGCCAATGACGAATCTAAAGTCATTGTTTTATTAATTATTATTAAGTCCTTTGTTATGTTTATGTTGTAGGATAAATACAACTTCAGCTCCTATATTGTGACAGTTTTGTGATTAAGGCCTACGATTTCTCCTGTAAATTCACAGACGAAAACGTCCTGTAAAAACGAAAGTTGAAATGTATGCGTTAAATCACGTCAAACCTTTTCTAAAAAATTGTAAACAAGATTAGACATTAGAAAAAGTCACACAATTTTTAATTGTCCTATTTTTTAGATATGTCGCAATAAAAGATACATATTTCATGATGCTTGCGGTAGTGGGCTCGAGTACAAAAGAAACGACACACAAGGTTTGGGGAACAAAAGACCACGAAACGATATTGCCCCTGAACACCACGTAACAAACTGACCGGATCCATTTTCATGTCCTTATTACGTAATAACCTGAATTTATGCATTTCATTATGTAATACATAATCTTAATTTTTTTAAACTTGATTAGGTGTCAGAAAATGTCGCACAACTATAAACAGTCATATAATTTAGATATGTCAACATAAGATACATTTACAGTCGATGAATTTGTACATCACATTCAAAGCTAAATATTGTCGTATATTTTAATCATTCGTTCTCTTGCCCTGCATAGGTGATTAACATCAGTCATTTATCTTTATTACTAATTGTAAGACTCTTGTGTGACTTATTTTTGTGTGTGTAGATATACTAGGAATGTTTTATCAGCCGAGGGATTTAATAAAAAGTTGAAAATGTAATGTTGTGTTGTTTATGGAAAGATATACTATACACATATATTTACGTGGAAGATGTTCATAAAACCATTCATTGTTCAGGGAATCTCCTTTCATAACATGAATCTGTATAATAAAAAAAGTGGAATAAGTACACTATTGAAGGGTTTTCATAATTCGTTTGGTATTGGGCTGGAGTACATAACCGACACATAAGGTTTGGGGAACAAAAGACCACCAGGGGTTCATAATTCTCGCAAATACCGTACATATGCCGTATTCAGTGAATCTATTTAAGTGTGAAGAAAGCGGAAGATGTCTCTCACACTTCAAGCCCTGATCGGTATTGTGAGGTGCGGTGAGGTCAACTGGGATTTAATGTCGCGTTCAAGATTATTGCACTTACATCGCGACGTGCATGCACGTGTGTGTGGGTGTGTGTGTGTGTGTGTGGGGGGGGGGGGGCTGCTCGTACAAGTCCAGACTGGTGCCGATTTTATAGTGCTGGCCCCCTGAGATACCATGCCATACCAGTTTAACATGAGTACGTCAGTATATTGACTCCGAGTCGATCATTCCTTATTTAGCCCCTTTACGCCGAGTACCGGGCAGGGTAACAACAAGAACCATCTTTTAAAGTCTTTTGGTATGATCAAACCTCTGACATTCTGTTCTCCGGGCGGATGCTCTACCACTAGATCACGGAAGCGGCCAGCAGGAGTGTGATGCTGACTCCTCATATATCAAGGGCCATGCACAGTCGGTGTTTATCTTAGCCAGTTTCCCTGACAGGTAAGGCACACCTCTGTAAAGCAACATATGTTATGGCAAACAGGAAAATATAACCGTCGACGCCAGAGAAAGATGAGTCTTGATTATTTATGGGAACTGATTTCACTGGGAATATAAAACAGCGGCGAAAAGTACATGTGTATTAGTGAGTGAGATGGTTTTAACACCACTTTTAACAGTATTCCAGATATATCACGGCTTGTCAGTTCAATGTGGGAGGAAAGCCCGAAGTGATGCAGGTCTCGGGCGTTTACCACTTTGATGAAACCTACTAGCATGGATATGGTGCTGACAAACCTTGAAACATAATCGGGTCAAACCGGGATTCGAACCTACAATCTTAGATTTCTGGCTTGCCCAAGGGACGCAACTCTGCACAGCGAATTGCGGTGCCTCACACGACTGAGACATCCGTATCCCCATGTGTATATAAACGGATCACTGAAAATCAGTGATGACGCTAGGTTCTGCCCTTCCTTGTTGGTACTTTATTACCAAAGGCAGTAATACTTAGAAGAAACACAATATCGTATTTAAACTGTTACGGTTTCTCGCCACAAGCGCCCACAGCTGACAACTCATTTCGATAGGAGAGATTGCAAAGTAATTTGTGATGGCCCCACAATTGATATGATAAATTACAAAACATGAAACCGGAAGTTCAGCCGGAACATCGTCCACTAAAATGTTCTCAAAAGCGAGAAAGAGCAACAAATGTTGTGAGGCATTGGGCTTACTGTTTTGCAGTTGGGACGGTTAGTAACGAAGACTAAACACAGTATTACGGCGTAAAATTGCAATAAACTGAATTGTCTAATCCTAGATACCAGTATGTTATTGCAAACTTAAAGTTTGCTAAGGGTCAAGTTTTGATGGTATAAAAAATCATCCAGCAAATTAAGATTGAAATATCCCGGCACACGTGATTGGGTAACCCCTACAGAACCTCGGATTCATCCCTTGTTAACTGCTCATCACCAGAGACATTGATTGGCTTGGTGTATGACTCGACATCATTGGAATCTGAGGACGTGGCGATGGATCCATTGGTCTGATGGGGGTTTTGGTAGAGACTGTAAAACCTCGGGAGGAGGGAAATCGCCCCTCGGGATTTCCCTCCTCCCGAGGTTTTACATTCTCTACCAAAACCTCTGAGTCTTGTTTTCTCCATTACTTTAATCCTCTAAAAGCGTAGGCCAAATGGGAAGTAGGCCAATGGGGAGGACACCGTTGAGGTGAGGTGAAATTGGGTTTAACGTCGCGTCCAAGATTATTGCGCATATATAGCGACGTGCATGCACGTGTGTGTGTTTGTGTGGCTGCTTGTACTAGTCCGGACTGATGCCGATTTATAGTGCTAGCCCACTGAGATACCATGCCGCAGTTTAACATGAATACCCCACTCAGAAACAGAAAACTGACTCCGAGCCGACCAGTCCTTGTTTTAGCCCCTTAATGCCGAGCGCCAGACAGGGTAACAACAAGCTTTTAAGTATCATCTTTTAACGTCTTTTGGATCGAACCCCGGAGCTTCCGCTCTCCGGGCGGACGCTCTACCACTAGGACACTGAGGCGGTCGAATGATGTTGAAAGACTAAAATATGCTAATGTATTGTTAGAAAGGTCGAGTCAGGATGTAGGGATTCCAACAACACATGGTTATAAGCTAGTTGATTTATGTAAAAACAATAATATATACATTGTCAATAGCCGGAGAATGACAAAGGAGTTGGCAAAGTCACATGTAAAGGAGTAGGCTTGGTTGATTATGCCGTAGCGAGCGCTAATGTTTTCCCAACAAAAGAAGATTCGAGGTCCTTGATTTTGAACCATTGTTCTCAGGAAACAGAATCTTTTTAATGTAATTTGATAAGGATTCCTACTGCATCTGCTAATGCCAAGGAAGATATTTCTCTTTGCTGGCGTCTGTCTCGGAGTCTGGACAGCTGACCATTGAGGTACACAATGCTGGTGTTGTTTTTCTGCGTTGTCTGTACAATCCACTTTTCATACTAACAAAGGGAGGACATTGTGCAGCTTCTGCTGGGGCAAGGTTGTAGATTTGCGGCATAGGATCCGATTCATCTCGGGCTCTTTTTCTCAAATAAACTTTGTTATCATTACCCGTATACAATGGTATGTGATCAAAGAAGACAGTTATATACAATCCTTATGATCATAAAAAAGGATTAATTAACTGTGAGAAAGTTACATTAATGTAGGTTCTTTAAAATAATCTGTGGTAGGCCAAATGGGAGAGGTCATTTCTGTTTCTTTAGGACATATGGGACGTAGGCAAATAGGGAATGCACCACCTCAACACCATTCATATAGACAACAATGTCTTTGGGGAATATATCTTCGTTGATAGAGGTGGAGTTTGTTGTAATACAATCTGACAAAGTACGTGTCCTTGCATTGAAATCACCAATGATAAAAATACTATTGTCGCTGATAATTTACACGAGATTTCATTATGTAGTTTTGGAAATGTTTCGTCAGAGTAAGATGGTGAACCCTCTGGTGGGATATATGTGATACCAATATATATATACTCTTCAAAAAAAGAAACTTGACATAGATGTGAAACCACTTTTTGCCAAATATCTAAAATAATTACATTAAATGAGAACCAAATAAGTCAAACAGAAAGATGATGTGTCTATAATTCGCGAAAACACATGCAAAGCACATAAACGTAGCGTTTGGGGATCAATTTTACAGCTTCATCCAAACGCAACCGCCTGTAAGTAACGTGCAGCACAGGATCCTGCATTTAGGCATGCAGGCCCCCCTGCTGAATGGGTATAAAAGTCCATATCAACGGCTGTTCATACAGTCCTTATAACGGCAGTAGAGGCAGTGACAGAATGCCAAGACTGAATGCAGCTCAACGGAACAACGCCATTGGGAGATTACAAGCTGGAGCATCTCAGCAAGAAGTGGCCAGGCACTTTGGCGTATCCAGACAGACAATCTCCGCACTGTGGACCCGATTCAACAACACCAACAGAGTTGACGACAGACCAAGGTCAGGAAGACCAAGGGTGACAACCCAAGCACAAGGTCGATACATCCGGCTGCGACACCTCCGAGACCGCACTACCACAGCCACGTCTACAATCACACAGATCCCTGGGGTACGCAGAATATCAGATCAAACGGTACGCAACAGACTGAGGGAGGCTGGACTTTTTGCACGAAGACCTGTTCGACGTCATGTATGACCCCACGTCATCTGGCGGACCGTTTGCTTTGGTGCCAACAAAGGGTTAGATGGGCACGTGCAAGGTGGAGAAATGTACTGTTTATTGACGAGTCCCGTTTCCTACTCACACGTGCTGATGGGCGCGCACGTGTCTACAGACGTCGGGGTGAATGTTACGCCCCCAAATGTGTGCAGCAGCTTGTCCCATTTGGCGGCGGGTGTGTCATGGTATGGGCGTGAATTCATCACGGTGCTAGGACGCCTCTCGTGTATGTGGCAGGTGAATTGACAGGTGTGCGTTACAGAGACTTGATTCTACAGCCTTACGTTCTTCCTCACGTCAACGTTCATGGCGGACAGTTCCAACAGGACAACGCTCGACCGCATATTGCACGTGTTTGTCAGGACTTCTTACAGCACAACAACATCAAGACATCACCTTGGCCAGCCCGGTCACCAGATTTGTCCCCGATTGAGCATCTGTTAGACGAGTTGGATCGACGCGTTCGCAGAAGGAATTCACCGCCCAAAACACTTCCGGCGCCTCTTGATGCACTTCAGCATGAATGGCAGCAAATCCAACAGCGTGTTATTGACAACTTGATTGCATCTATGGGTCGTCGGTGTCAAGCGTTGATTGATGGGCACGTGGTGGGCACAACCGATAAGGACATTTTCTGTACCCCTGTGACATTAACTGTATCGTGTACGTGTATCTGTTTAGGTGACACGATTAGTGTGTACATTGATCTTCAAACAGTGTTTCAATTATGGTTTCTGTGTCCTATTTTGAAACAATAGCATTATATTACATTTTGAAAGTCAGTGTCAAGTTTCTTTTTTTGAAGAGTATATATATATATATATATATATATATATATATATATATATATATATATATATTACAGGATACATTCAATATTTCATGGGAAGCGAGAAACCGTATAGCATATTCCGAGGATTCGGCAACGTATTCATGCTTCATAGCAACGGCTATACCGCCTGATTTTCTACCAGTACTTGT